GTTTTTTGTTCGTTTATCATAGCTGGCATTACACATCCATTACTTTACCTTTTAAGCATATTGTCAACGTGCTTTTCATTATGTCTTTATTTTTGTTAAATACTTTCCATCCGATCGTTATACTCGTTTTATTTTTAAGCTTCTTTAATTCTTTCATTTCTTCCAGTATCTTTTTATTTCTGTTCATTTTTACAACTGCATTGAGATTTTATCTAGTCGAGTTATTTGGCCTTTCTTATGACTCATCCGATGATTCTGATATTAGTAAAAATATTGCCAACAAATTGTAAATGGCTCAACAAATATGTTTATGTTTACTCCTATTACTTCCCAGGTAATTTTCCCGAAGAAATTTTCAATGCTTGTTGTAAATAGTTTAGCAAATACTTTCATAAAAACTGTGAAAATCTGATTCTATTATGTGTACACTTGGACCCCGGATTAAGAACATCCGACTTACGAACATCTTATTACGAACTGGCTATCATGAAACCTTTTTATATTTTAAATTTAAACTTTCTCTTATACTCTACCTAAGATCACATCACTACTTCAGCTAATGGACCAGAGGGCAATAACCTCCTTTCAGACCTCTTATTTCCGGTGGACTCTCTCACGATCCAGATTAATTAGCTTAAAAGAACTGAATATATTTTGGTGTATTTAGAAATGTTTTATGTGCAGAAGAAAGTTATATACTAAGACAAACATTTCGTGAACTGGTGCAAAACAAGAACTGTATGTACTTGTTCCGATTTCTGTACAAATTTGACTTTTCTTTAAAGACTTAGGAAAATAATTTTTACTTTTGTTACATATGATAATAGTCTGCTGCAAGACAAGCTTGATAAACATCACTTTGTAGCTATTAAAAATATTGAACATTTATTAAACTTTTGATTGTTAGAATTCTAGGTTCTCAGATTGCATGTTTTATCAAATTTTAAAGATTTGAAATCTTAACTCCTGAACCAATTTCCCAATCATTGAGCTAAAACTAGGCACTGGACATTAATTTTCATTTATATTTTTCATCTTTTCTGACATTATGATGAAAGATTGCGCAGATAAGTGCGAAGAAACTTCTTTGAATCGCCAACTGACATTTGCCCATCGATTGTCTGGCAATTTGATGACATTTTCATTATCACGAGCGTTGGTACGATTCTTATTCATTCTTTTACCTCATTGTTACAATCTTCATTAACTCTTTCCAGCCATTGTTACACTCCTCTTTAACCCTTGCTCTCCATCGTTGCAGTCATCGTTAACCCTTGCTCTCCATCGTTGCAATCATTGTTAACCCTTGTCCACTATCGTTGGAATCCTCGGTAACCTTTTCTCGCCATCTTCTCATTCCTCGTTAACGATTTTCCGCCTTTTTGGCAATCCTCGTTAACTTTTTCAAGCCATTTTGTAATTTTCATTAGCAAAAAATCCGTGAGAATTCCACGGTCAATGTCAAATATAAAATGCATTTATTCGCAGAATTGTTTTGGTTATATGAAAGAAACAAACTTCATAGAAATATAGTATTTTAAATAAACCTTAAATTAAAAATAATAACCTGCATTATTTAAGCAATACATTGTTAAATTTTCTACTTTAATTTAATTTATTAAATTTTTAATTTAAGAGCGATCTTTTTTGATTATTGAAAAAAAAGAATCTTGGACTATATCACATCTCAAGTTAAATTTTTAAAAATATTTTGAATGATCAATTGGTTTCGCCAAAGTGCTCTGTAGATGGCAGGCAAGTATTTGCAACCAATCATTTAGCTATAAAACAATGATCCAAATATGATTGTATTCTGTCTACCATTTCATAGATTAGATACTGGAAAATATAATTAAAGTGTAATGGACTGCTGCAGGAACGAAAGAAGACATAACGATATCGTAATGGATACGTCAATTGTTTTAAAACTATTTCGTTTTGAAGGAAAATGATCGACTTGTTTTAAACCAAACCTCTTCTGTTATCTTTCTTTCTTCCAGCTACAGTCGATGTAGAATGATCAAAATCGAATTCACTCACAGTGGCCTTAGAAATCAGTTTACTCGTTTCTCCGTTAGGCATATTTTTAATGATATATATATATATATATATATATATATATATATATATATATATAAAAGGGCACTAAGTTCAACACCAAGACAGCTTGTTTCATAAGTTTAACACCATCGTCAGCCTGACGATGTATATTTGTGTGTGTGTGTGTGTGTGTGTGTGTGCGTGTGTGTATTTAGGCAGCAAATTCTCTTTCAGACATGTCCGATTGAATAAGTTAAAAACGTTATGCCTGATTATTTTTATCATAATCCTTTCATATTCACTAATATTATTCAGTATATTACAATTAAATGAGGCAAGAAATGCACTGTAACAGTGAGAATGAGTTTTATTACCCAAGTACTTTTCATCTCTTTTTGAAATCATCATCAGAGGTGCATTTGGTAAGGCAAAAACTATGTGTAGCTATCCCTTACTGAAATTCTTTTACATTTAAATGCTATACCTGACAGCGTTCATTAAAACGTAAATAGTTACCCATTATGGAATTTTTTTATGTTTGAATGTTATGGCGGAGCGTGCATTAAAACATTTAATTGTAATATACGGAAAAAAATATTCGTTAATATGAAAAAGATTATAACCAAAATTAGCAGACATAACGTTTGTAACTTATTCAATCAGACATTATATATATATATATTAGTGGTCAATATATACACACACACACACGCATATATATATATATATATATATATATATATATATATATATATATATATATATATATATATATAAAAGTCCTGCAACCATTCATTTCCCCCTTTTCATTCACTGCTGATTCTCCATCAAATCATAGGGATACCCATTTCTGTCATATGTCTTTTGACAATTGTATTGGCTGCCTACAGATTTACTCCCAACACCTGAATGTTTGTTTCTGGATGAACCTCTACTGCTGCTATCAAATCTTTATTGTCGAGTGATTACTTGTGACCATGAAAAAAAAATTTAGAACACCAAAAGTGAATTTTTCATATCTCCAAAAAACAGTTCATTTTGAAGCTGGCCTCATCTCCCAAACACCCTTGATGTCATGACTGGATTAGACAGTACAATAACAGGGTTTGAACAAAATGATGCGAAAATCGCATCTTTGCTTCGACCAAAGAATAGGAGTTAAGAAGACAACATAACAAATTGAATTTAATTTTTGAAGATCAAAGTTGACTGGAAAACAAGAAGCCGGAAGATAGTTACATAAGCGAGAAGTCCGAGAGAAAAAACTGTTAGCATAGAACTTACGGTTACATCTAGCCATTTCAACTGTAAAATGATGAGACCTTTCCGGCAATCTAGTGCTGCGCTTCATTAGGACAATTACTATGAAAGTATTTATAGGAAAGACAGGGAAGCTACGATACGACGGTGGAAATTGACTGAAACCGAGATGTTGAGTCAAGACCAATAACATTGCATATTTTTCTTTGGATTTCATCAAGAATCTCTAAATATATAAGAGAAGCACCAGATCAAAAGTGGCAGCAATATTCAAAGCATAAATAAATAAAACTATTTTATCTTTCAGATATATAAAATTAATTTAATGAGGATTTACATAATTATTAAAATAATTTAATGGTAATTTATGTAGTGATTTCTACAAATGTCCATAAAATTATCTTTTTTATTTTCCTCTCGACAATTCTTGCAAATCAAAATCATCGTTTTGTTTTCAAATCAAATGGTCACCAATTTGCATCAAAAGTGACAAAAGTTTTGCTTACTTTGATTATAAGCATTTACAGAAAAACAAAAAACAGTTGAACGAAATAACAAATTTTATTTTCTACAGCCAATTCGAGTATACAATAAAAGAGCTGGAAGTAAAAATCTTTTATTATGTTTTCTCTCCAGATTTTTATTTTGTACGGCTTCATAATCGACACGCGGTACTGTCGAGAATCAAGAATTTTTTTCAATTTTCAACGGTCGTTCATTTTTCTATTTTCTCTTACACTGATGTGACGGCTTAAATCAAACAAAAATATTTCCAAACTTAGAATGCATGAATGTATATATACATTGTATATATATTTTAAAATAATATATATATATGTATATATACATTGTATATATATAAATATGTATATGTATATATACATTGTATATATATTTAAAAAACCATACTAACACTTTGATCTTTTCTCCATACTCTCCTTACGATTTAAGACAAATCTGATCGCCGTACACAACAGTAGATTTCAAAAATTCAGTTTTGTTGCAATAAAATGGAAGTACAAATGAAAGATCGAAACCCAGTACGAATTGAAGCCATTACATTATAAAAAAATTTATATTCATAGCTTCACGGTTGGGCGCCTAAAATGACTTGATGTTCAAATGATAACAAGCAAAATAAGGAGAAATAATTCCAAGTGTTATACCAGTGATAACCATCTGTTTAATTCATATTTCTTTTTCTTTTCGGCAAATATTTAGTGCCATCTCGACACCTGTCACAATCCTTAGGTCAAAAAGTTTGTGTGTGTGTGTGCGTGTGTGTGTGCGCGCGCGCGCCAAATTTGTGGTCGATACATTCAATAGATTTACTATTTATACACTCTAGATACAGATACACACACACACACACACACACACTCTCTCTCTCTCTCTCTCTCTCTCTGTGATTTTGGGGTATCATATGTCTTTCGACTGGTCTAAATATATTTACTGTTTTCTTTAGTTCATAAAGAAGTAACCACGATTTAAATAAAAAAAAATTGCGATATTTAAATATCGCAAATTTAAAAAAAAATTTTTTTCTGACATAATTTCTAATCAAAAACATTCTCCGTCATTCATCAAATAATTCTTTCGTGCCCAATGATATGCATTTATCGCCTGAAATTGATTGTTCATCATATTCTTGTGCTCCAAGCAAATATTATTTTTCAATCTATTTTCTTCTTTCTTTCCAGGGATCGGCACTGAGCCCAGGTGAAAGTGTCCAACATTTCCACATTGATCAGAATTATCACAGAGTGAAGAAAACTGGCTTTCCTTTTGAACCTCGACTGTCGAGACCGAAAAGACTTGAAAATGTTCCTTCTTCGCAAAAGTTTCTTGTCCGTGCCAAACGCTTGGATATTATGGAAGCTGCCAAGGAAGCTAACATGGCACGTGCCAAACGCTTGGCAAAACTTGTGCATGATGGCAGTTCAGGTCGTTTACTTATCAGAAGCAAGAGGAGAGACTTTATCCAACCAGTGACTAATAAACATCAATTGGCACGTGTAAAACGCCTTAGCTTCACGGATCACCATGGTAACCACCATGGAAAACTGGAATCACGTCAAACAGAAAAGCACCATGAGAGCCATCATGAAACAAAACGTCATCACGATGGAAGAGTCAACATCCACAAGAAGGAGAACAGAAATGGACGGAAGGAGTTGCACGCAAAGAAATCTATGCACCTAAAGAAAGGTTCCCACGACGGTGAAAGTCATAGCAAAATTGGGAATCACCATGAAAAGAAGCAAAATCGTTACAACAAGAACGATTCTCATTCGAAAAAAGATTTGCATGCTGTTCCTCATGAAAAGAAAGAATCTCGTCATTTGGAAAGGAATAAAAAATACATTGGGCATAAGGAGAAGAAAGAGAAAAAGCGCGCGATTCACAAGACCGGGGGAGGCTACTATAACAAGAGAATCTCCGGTGGTCATGGCGTCAGTCACTCCGGACATGAGAACAACCTCAGAAGTTCCCATGTGAGTCACAATAAATGGAAAAAAACTGCCAAGAAATATGCGACCATGGCAAACAAGTTGACCTATCCTAAGAAAAACAAGAGACAAACCTTGAAACAATAATTCTTTTTTCTTTCTCTCTTTCTCTCTCTCTCTCTCTCTCTCTCTCTCTCTCTCTCTCTCTCTCTCTTTCTGCATCTTTTTTTTTATCATTTTCTTTTCTCCACTTCATGTGTTTAATCCTTCCTCTCTACTCTCGGATGCTTTCAAAATGGGAAAATATATTGTCGTGTCTCACCTCCACACAACTTCACTACCTCTCTCTCTCTCTCTCTCTCTCTCTCTCTCTCTCTCTCTCTCTTTCAGCTTTGAAATGCTGAATATATTAAAAATCTCTAGATATCTTTTTCCCTTCTGTTTTATTTATTTATTTTTTTTCACTTTAACCACAATATCCTTTCGCTCTCCAGCCTTCTGCTCACCGCTCGCCACAGAAGTCGTTGTCTTGTCCTCTTTTGGAAAAAAATGTCAACATAACCAGCACTTTAGTTCACGGCAAAGTTTGACTTTTTCTCTTTTGCATTGTTTTCAAATGACTTTCTCGTTTTGTCTTGAATTTTTATTTCAAGATTAAAAAAAAAAAAATCATGTACTGCTGGGAGAGAAAGCGTTAATATCAAGAAACATTCGAATTCCAATGTTCATTAATATTATTGGCTTAAGATGATTTTTTATTTCTATAATGGATTTTTGATAATATTTCTTAAATTCAATTGTTTTGGGCTTCTGTTTTTTGACAGTAATTTGCCTTTTGATAGTGCGCATGTGCTCCCGGCTCCTGATTGGCTATTTCTATCTGAAATAAAAGTTTCTACGCTACTGTGAAATCACGCTTTCCAGACTCTATACAAATCTTGTAACATTTAAAATACCAGAAAAGATACTGTTTTCAGAAAATTCACACACCCATACGCAAAAGAGAAAAAATACCAATAATTTCCTGTGAAAGAAGCAACTGAAAACTAAAATCTCCAATTTCACGAGTTTCTCTACTTTTCAAGAGATATCGCAAAAACGTTCTGAAAAACTTAGTCACGTTTGTTTCCACCAATTAACACTTTCCATTGTGAAAATCTGTGTATATTTCTGGTTTATACGAATAAATGATCAGGAACCAAGTAATTGGTTTGTATTTTACTTTCTTTTTCAGAGTTGTTGCGATGTATATTTGTAAAAGACTTTAAACAAGAAAAAGCCGAAAATAGTAGCTGTCTTTTGTCGATTAAAATAAAATGTTTCCTCCTCCTCCATCAACTCCATCCATTTTATCATGAAACAAGGAAAGTTTCGAAGTGAACCCAATTACGAATTATACGACTAAGAGTCACATATGGTAGTATACTTAGTCTGGCATAAGGCCTCACTAGTGAAGCACTTATTGGGGATAAATATCAATGGTCTTCGAGATCACTTTCTCCACTAAATAACCAGATTTAAAAATGAATTCCTTGTTCAAAGGTCTCTGTGTTCACTCATTATTTTAAAATCCATTTTTTATAGAATAACCAAAATAAGCAATTATTATAAATTAAATTTTCTTTGCTAGTGACAATAGCCAGAGTTCGAGTATAAATAAAAACCTGGAACACAAATGCTGATTTTTAAAGCAGACTGAAATCTCTCACAGTTAATATAAGATTGTATTATGCCAATCATTCATTGGCTTTTTGCTAGACTAAGCCGATGTTCTAATCTTTCCAGACTCAAACATGCGCCACTTTCTAACAGGTCGCTTTCTCATCTATCACTACACATATGGATTGGTTAGCATAATGGTAACAAGATTTTTATATTGCCAATAAGAATTTGAATGCATTTACGAAAGTTTAGAATCCATAATCATCTACATATATTAAGTATGAACAAAACCATAGATAGATAGATAGATAGATAGATAGATAGATAGATAGATAGATAGATAGATGAGGTGCATTCCAGAAGTTTTCAGACTTTTCCATGACAGACATTTATTAATTTCAAAGAAATACAAAACTTCAAAGTCGGATCCTCTGATTTTAATGCACTTTTGTTGTAGCACTTCAGCTAATCCGCGATGACCCAACGAAAGTCATCCAAAGTGACGGTGTCCAGGACGCTTTTCACAGCTTCCATCATCTCAATGTCTTCAAAATGAATACCCATAAATTTTTTCTTCAATTTAGGAACAACCAAAAGTCTCAGGGAGCAAGTTCTAGACTATGGGGAGAAGAATGAGTTGTTTTGATGTCCATCTCTACCGAGTTGGTTACCAGGATTAAATTGTGAACTTAAGCATTGCTCTGGTATCACCGACCTGAGTGGAGGAGCTCTGGCCCTTTGTGCCGAAATATTTTCCTTAACTCCCTCAAACCCCTCACAAAGTACTCTTTGTTGGTCGTCTGGCCAGAGGGAACCCATGGATATAGATGATGATACGGGTACTATCCTAAACAGCTTCATGAACATCCCGATGGACTTGTTTTGCCTGGCCTTCTTGGGTCTGATGGAGTCAAGATGCTTCCATTGGGCACTCTGTCTCTTTGTCTCTGGATCATAACAGTAGATCCAGCTTTCATCACAGGTTCCCAGAGACTGAAGTGCTCTTGGATTAGAAGTAAGGAGCTCAACCATCTCCTTGCTGTCACCAATGCGTCTTTCTTTCTGTCCATCACTGAGCAACTGGGAATAAACCTTGTACAAATTTTGTGCATGTTCAAATCTTCATGAATAATTCTGTGTACAGTTGCCACACCAACTCCGAATTGTATGATTACTGATTTTATAGACACATGACGAAATTTGCGAATTTTCTCGACCAGTTCTCATGTCAGGGCCAGTGCTAGGGTCTCGCAATCTCCCCCCACTAAAACAGGGATACGGGGCCCCCCTTTCTACAACATGTCGGTTTCAAAGTCTCCCAACCTCGGGGCCACAAACCCTCGAAGGAAAATTGGGAGGAGGCGTGTAGCGCTTTTTTTAAATTTGCAAAACTCGGGAAATTATCCAATTTAAATGAAAATTTCAGTACATATTCATTAATTATTTACTTATATAATGAATTGGTGTTTTATTTTTAAAAAATCTGAAAAATTTTAATGTTTTTGTAATAATCACCAATATTTTCATGACTAAATTTTACTCGAAAAATGTTTAAATCGCAATTTTTTACATTTCCATAAAGTTTAATCACCGACACAACGGGATTGTTTTCAAAACAGTATTTCAGTTCTCGGGAATATTTTTCATGTGATGAAATCTTTAAACATTTTTATTTTTTAAGCGATCATTTTTCGGCTTTATTCTTTCTAGAAATGTAAAAAATAGGGAATAGAAATTTTATTTTAATTACTAGCCGTAGACTTCTGGTTAGTATTAGTATAAAAAAAACAGAGATCCGCCTTAGTAGATGAGCTCGGAATAAAAAATGATTTTACCGTATTATATTACCCTCTGAATTGATTTAAAAAAACTGTTACAATTTAAAAAATAAGTGCTACCGAAATTGGCACTTCTGTCCCCCTTTCCCAGTAGGCATGGATCCCCCATACTGTTGAGAGGTTTGAGGTAGTGAGCACCGGCCCTGTCGATTATTATAGTTGATGATTTGCAATATAACTTAGGTAGAAAAAAAAGTAGAAAGTACAAAAAAAAAAAAAAAAAAAAAACGCTGTGAAACTAGTCCTTTTGAGGCTCCAACCTCGCCGGGGGTTACTGCGTAGTAAGCACCACACCGGCCATACACGATGTATATTATTAGTTGATGACTGACAATGTAACGTCAGTTTAAAAATATTTTTTTTTTAATTGCGGTTGGTCATAAAACAGTGCAAAAAATGAGAGGCCACAACGAGCCCCCCAAAACAGCCCTGCTTGATGTCCTGACTTTCCTCTCCCTCCCACATCTCGACTAACACCTCCTCTCTAACTTCTTATGCCAGCGAAAAACAGATGTTCAGCTCATACAACTTACTCCATAAGCTGTCTGAAGTATTTCATAATTTTCTGTGGCATTTTTGCCCAGTTTAATAAAATACTAGCAGTAGAGCCCAGCATTGCCTGGGGATGTAACAGTAAGATATAGATCAAGTATCGACCATCATAAAGACTGAAAAATAAAATTGACAAAGATTATTGTTTAAGGTTGACGGACACGCCTATCTTAATTAGTTTTTTGTTTTGTTTTTTGTTTTTTTTTTACGAATTAGTCAAACCCAAACTCAAACAAAAACATTGTTTTCAATCGTTATGAATCTATCGATTGAATAGAATTTTATTATAAACAATTGTCTTGTAAATGGAATTTTTAAAGCATTCTGAATGTAAAAATAAAGAAAAAAGTGTGCAAGACAATAAAAAACACTACCTGCCAAAAAAAAGTGAAATTGTTGAAATTGGTTGAAAAATGTAGGAAATCCGATCCCATATATAAACGAACACACACACACAAACAACCTGGGTTTTATAATAAGTATAACTCGATATGAGTTGTCCCCCTTTCATTCATTGTGTTTTATCGTGTTTTCAAATTGATTTCGTGCAAAAACAATTGTGTTTTTCCAATTTGGGGCGCTGTCAGAACCACCGCAAGGTTATTTTACGCAGTCCTGTGAAGTTTTGTTGAAATCGGTTGAAAAATGTAGGAAATCCGATCCAATATATAAACGTACAGACACACACACACACACACACAATCTGCGTTTTGTAATAAGTAATATTATTGCATAGTGAGCTTCCAAATTGTCTTCACGTCCCGACTGCATTCTGTAAATTAGTCAGCTGTGACAAGCAGTGGTTATTAGGTTGTGTCGTCTCCCTCAATCTAGAATAAAAAAAATGCCAGGTCAGCTTATTTGATGTATAGTAATGACAGACCAAAATTACAATAATCTATTATATACATTTATAACTGCCTCTGATAAAAAATGTCTCAAAACTTCGTATATAAGTTTAAGCACTTAACGGAATGTTTTAATCCGACAATATTTCTTATTAATATAAACGATCTTTTAGTGAATACACGTGTGCATGTGTTTGAATAGGCAAGTAATTGTACATTTCTAAAAAAAAAAACATGGGTGTCCACTCGTACATGTATCCGCTAAATGGATAGATAGATAGATAGATAGATAGATAGATAGATAGATAGATAGATAGATAGATAGATAGATAGCGAGTGGGCATAGGTATCAACATTGTATGACAAGTGCCAGTTTCATATTGATCATTTAATGCGTTAATCTGACAGTGACCATGCAGTATTGATTTCTATGTCCACGCTGCTTATATTTGCGAACGATCTATCTGCAATATTGAGTACTCTGTCCCGATAAATGTAAGTGTG